AATTTAAGTTTATCGAGTAGTTTTCTTACTCTATAGTGCTCATTCTGTTTTACTTGAAATATCTACGTTGTAGATTATTTCAAGAGATACTCGTTGATGATTTCTATCTACTTATCCATAAATTGGACAACTTTAAACATTGTTCAAATGTTATTGCATAGAATTGAGCTCACGGATGTCCTGAAGGGAAGGACCACTCCTTCAATTTTGAAAAGTTTTCATTTTTTTTCTAGTAAAGTTCTAGAGTTTTATTGTTTTATTTTGCTCATCAATGCTCAAAAAAACGCTCGATCTCCTCCTCCAAAATTGGTCGAATCTCTCCTCTACCAAAAAAATTCGATCAACTTCAGCAAAATCTTCCAATTTGCCTCTTGATTCATTGACCCTTTTTCCTCAATCTGGCGACCTCGACATAATCTTGATTTGAATATTAATTTGATCTTTGTTTCGACTTATATTTCCTATAAATTCTATAATTTTGTCCTATATTTCGATTGGTTTCTCTATTTCACCAATGTTTTCCTCAAAAAATTAGTCAAGTTTATCAACACTATTTCATATAAATTTTACTCATTAACAGAATTTATATGAAATATAGTTAAAGCTTTTAGTATCGCAGATAGAATGGGAGGAATTGTTTTAAATAGTCATTTTTTCACATTAGTCTACTTCTATCATTGAAAAAAAAACTATTTAGTAAAATGATTGATACTATTAAAACTCTCAGATAAATCAGTGGTTTTTCAAATTGATATAATTATTCTATATACAACTGTATACAAATCATCAAAAAGATATCCGAATGAAATTGGTTTGATTCAGCAAAAAATTAGAACTATGGTCAATTTTTTTCAAAAAAGAAAAAAATGCAAAAACTCAAAAAAATCTATGCAGACCGATGCAGCAGAAGTTGTGTCTACTGGTCAGTATACTGACTGATAAGAAATCCTCTGCTGGATCAGACTAGTCATTTATTGTTACCATTTGCAACACTATTTTACATTCGGTTCAATTGATTGTATTGTCTGAAGGCTTACTGAGAAATATGTTATCAGTATTTACAGAAAGGAAAAGCGACTTTTCATTTTCAACTGTTCATGTCTCAAGTAAGATTGAACATTTATTTAAATGTGTAAGTAGTGGCAGTGTCAGAAAAAAATTTTTAGAAGAAACTCAAAGGTTTCTGAAGGAAGGCTCAACGTTTTTTGGAGCGAACTGAAGCTTCTCCAGCCACCCTTTGGCTCCACCACATTGTGTAAAGGATCACTTGTTCAATGTCATTTCCTAAATTTTAAATAAAATATCGTTCTAGATTAATATATTGTTTTTCTTAGATTATTTTCGAAAATCAATAACAAAAAAAAACCACTAATAAGTTTTGTTATAGATCGATTAGAATTTAATATTATAACGACCCATGCATCATGCTATAGACACTTAGTTTTATTTTTTTTTCTTGATACATTAATGAAAACAATATAGTCGTCAGTTTAAAATATTTGTTTGTTTATTTTTTGTATAATGATCTAGGTGATGTATTTCATTGTTATCCCATTTCTAAATTTCATGAATAGAATTTAATATTCATTTTTCTTTATTAATGTTATGCTGTTATCTATGCCTGTTTTTGTTTTGCTTCCACTTTACTTTCAAAAGATGGAAAATTTATCTGTATGTTGTATTTACAAAAATATAATCGTAACGTAGCACATCTTCAGTGCAACAACTTATCGTTTTTTTCTTAAGTAAAATATAGACCAATGACTATTTTACGTAAACTACACTAGAGTACACAAAACAATATATAGGAGTACACGTGAAAAACTCTTGATTACAAGTTGAGCATTTAATTATTGTACTTAAATTGTCAGATTCAAATATGAGTACTCATGAACTTTCGTGACGTTTTCCATCATGAATACTCGCTTATCAGTACTTCACTAGAGGTGACAATTATAACAATTCGTGTATCCAGTGTCATTAATCTATTGAAGAGCTTCTTAAGTGAATCGTATGTAGATTTGGTTCTTATGTTTTACTATAAAAATAATCCTTATATGATGTCAAAAAAATATATTCTTTATAGTTATATAAGAAAAAATACAAATAAAATTTTATCGAATGAGATTTGTCAACTTTGTTATGAAGTGACATCTATCGTCGAAGAAATTGAGTAGCAAATTTTCTATGATTATATCCATTCTTGTACAGACAAATTCATCATATTCAAACGTAGTAATCAATAAATGTTTGATATTGATTTACGAAGAAATTTTTCTATCGTTAATAATTTGTCGATCATAGTTCCAATCAATTGTACATAAAAGAACAATCAAGTAGAAACAATTGACTTTTTATTTATTTTATCTGTTCCTTAAACATTTTCGATCACGTGTACACTGAATTGATTGCTTTTTGATTTAGACATATTTTTATTTTTCGACTATATTTTATAAAATGATTATTCAATTTTTATAATTAATAAATCATTTCTTTTTTTGTAGATTTAATGTATTATTATCAAATTATATCAAAAATTTAATCATTCCAGCTCAAACGTCTTCGTTATCGGCTTCGGCCGTTTTAAATAAAATGAATCTTGATGCAGTGTCAACGGCACTTGCTCAAATTTCATTTACAATAAAAAGTTTATCAAAGAAAAATTTCAAAAATTCACTTACCGAAATAGCTAATGTATATTTCTTTGAAAAACATTCTTTTTTTTTTCTCTATTGTAAAATAATTTATTTTTCTTATTTATATATTACTAGCTCGTATCAGAACATGGATTTGAAGCTGAACGACATTTATATCAAACTTTAATATCATATCTTGATTTACAATCAATTGAACAAAATGGTTCATTAATAAAACGTTCAGAAAATATTCATTTAAATTATTGGTTACAAGAAATTCCATCCTTAATATCTAAACCAAATTTTGTAACTTTAATTTGTTATGCTTTTGATACAGCTATAGCGCAACAAGTAGAAAAAAAAACCTAAAAATTCGATAATTATATTAAAACAATTTCAAACGTTTTTTTGTTTTGTTTTGTATTTTATAGTCACTTAAACTTCCATCACCACCGTCAAATGAATTTTTAACATCATTATGTAAATTATTTAAATTAAATCGTGCACAAGAACTTATATTTGTTTTTGCTTTACAAAATTCAATACATACTGAACTTCAATTATTAATACACGAACATATACAACAACGTTTACCTGAATTCATTCGAATTGCATCCGGTGGTATGTTTAACAGAACCAAAAAAATGAATGAACAAACAAAGAAAGGAAAAATATCGATTATGAAAAATAGAATGTAAAAAAGACTAATAGTATAAGTTAGAGTTAATAGTGAGCAGGATCAATCGTTTTTGGTTTCGATCTCGATCAAAAAAATTTTCAAGTAGAGTTAATAAACGCATGATATCTTGCATGATCTCTAATATCGTCCCTCTCGGAGGTTTATTACTTTTTTTAATTCACTAATACTTCGTCTACTGTGTAAAGTTTTAGAACACATGAAATGACCATAAAAGATATCACTCCCAATGCAAAAGTGTTGGCCCTGACCTCAGCGGAATTGAAACCATCTTACGTAGACAGTGGCTTCAAAAACTGATCATTCAGATTTAATTTTGACTTTTTTTATATATTAATAATTCTCATAAAGAATTCGAATAGTAACTTGAAAAGAGACAAAACCTATTTTTAGGTGTTGCTGAATATCGATATAGATCTGTCAAAAAATGCTTTGAAGACCTTGGAGCCATCAGATTTTATAGAGAATTAATTGCTCTATGTAACTGATAGAAACTTTTTTGTTGATTTTGTTTACTGAAAAACTAGGTTTTGTGTTTTCTAGAGATCCTGAATTTTTGAAATACTGTGAAGATTTTATTTTCTGCAAATACAAATTTCTCTATTCAAACCACAATTTGGATTCTTTATGCGAGTTACCATTATGAAAAAGAATCGAAATTAAACCTGTATGATCAATTTTTGGAACAATTATGTGCTAAAATTTCTCTCTGATTTCTTTATTTCTTGAAAATTATTTGACAATCTATAAAGTAGTATATTTTTGTTCATTACTTAACATATGAAGTAGAAACTTGTTTCTATGTAAGAGTAAAAATACTTGACTGTTTTACTGATGTAACTTAGACATTGAACCAGGATTTGCAGTTTGATGCAGGACTCTAATGTAGGATTGAAAGAAGATCTACACCCATGCCCATCATTTTATATTAAGTAACATATTGTCAAAATGCATATAGGAATCTTTTTTTATTAATGTTATAGATTATTCGAGATTTTTTTTATTTCTTTGTTTTTTCATTATATTTTTAGAAAAAATGATTTCTTTATTATTTGATTCTATTTTTTTTTTCAATTTTTATTTAAAAAAGATAATGGTATGAATGAAACAGGTTTAATTGATCTATCAACTGAAGTACTTCATTCACTTTTACTATTCATTCAACAATATATATCAAATGATTCAATAGGACCATTGATTAAAAGTGAAGAATTCGAGAAATTTCTTGATGTTCTACGAAAAGGTTGAATAATTATTTAAATCAATTTTACAAAGAATTAATTTTTGTTGTATTTATGTTTTTTTAGAATATCCAAGAGAACGAATAGGAAATAATGGTTCTGTAATACTTCTACCATTACTCTATTCATCTCATAATTTATCAATAGATCTCACTTCAAACCAATTATTATCAGATTCAAATAATCTTCCAACAACTGTGGTATGAAAATAAAGAATTCTTATGAATAAAATTATCTATTTAATAATTTATTTTATTTTTTTGTTTCAGTGGCAAATGGATGGTTCTCTAGCTGATGTTATTCTTGAAATGGGTTATAATTTTACAGCATGTGTTGAAGATTGTCGAAATGCACTGATTCATTTTGGTTTACAAGAATTAAAACCATCAACAATTGCTCGAATGCTTTCCGTTATGATTAAAACTCATTCTGGTCATAATGAAAATACACATATCTATGTAAATATCGATTTTTAAAGAATAGTTCTTTATTTTTCTAATAAATATATATTTAGGATTCTAATGGTACTGATATAATAATAAATAATGAAAAAAATTCTTTACAAACATGGAATGTTGATACATTTGTTCTTGCAATTAATGATTTAGTATGTGAAAAAAAAACGATTTTGGATGATTGTTTTTTTGTTTAATTAAAAAAAAAATCATGTTAATAGGTCCCAACTGTTAATTGGAAAGATGTTGTGAAAGAACTTGATCAGCCCGGTTTTATTGTACGTGATCGACAAGCTTTAGTACTTCTTGTTACAGCACTTCGTCGAGCTTTACCAGTTGAACTTTATATTGATTTACTCTATGGACGTTGGAATAATGTAGAAGGACAAGTAAGAGAAAAAAAAAAACAAGATAATAATGAAAACAAAAAATTCAATTTATTTCATTTTAGTTATCATGGATAGCTCAAGCTACTCGTCATCCTGATATTTTTTGTTTCGGTGATCATCCAGCACATCCTGTTTTAATTGACTGTCTCAAGCATCCACTTGATGATACAAAAGAAACATGGACTTGGTATAACAAAAAAAATAATAAGTTTTATTTTACTACTTTTTCTTTTAGGCGATCATTAAATTTAATCGAATGTTTATTACGTATTGCTGATACAGGTTTATATTCAACTGTATTAGAAATATTTAGACATGGAATACAACGTTCGGGTGAATTGATTTTTCTTGGATTATTACAACTTCATGTAAGTTACGAAATTCTTAGATATTATTTCGTCATTATAAACAAAGAGAATTCTTATCAATCAGATTGTTTTTTGAAAATAATAGAAATTATATCTATTAATGATCTTGTTCAAATTTATCAGAATGTTACAAATTTGAATTTTTTCTATTTCTGACATTAAGAAAGAAAAAATAGATTGATCGTAGAAAAGCTGAAACAAAAAACAATTTTGAAAAAGATGTGAATGTGAGTACATTTGTTCTATTCACCTAAACTCACGTCCTCTATGTTACAATGTTAGTATTATGTCAAAAATAAAGAATGTCTTGTTAATCGAAACTGTCGATCTTTCTACAGCGCACATCAGAAAAATGAGACTCTATCATTATTTCTACTTTTTTTTTTGACGGTTGGAAAGACTTATGAATAGTTCGATATAATCTGTCGATACTCAGGAAGATCATTTCGATTGTCGAAAATGGTGTCTTAAACGGATTATCAAATGGCATATTACTGCATTATATTTTTCCGGCATTTTACGAGGCGTTTTTTTTGCTGGAAAATGACGACAGTTTTTTTTTCTATTATTTCTATCATTTTCTGCGATGCCAAATTACGGTGATGTATTGGAACCAGTTTTCATTGCTTACGATACCGTCTACTTGGACTTGCGTAGAAATTTAAAAAAAAAGTTTGATATCATTTTGAGATCTATTCTATTCTCTCTTTGATTAAGTTACTGTATTAAATAATTTGTCAAACAGGTAGATATGAAGAAAAAAGCTGCCTGCCAATAAAATGATACCTGTAGATATTCAAAACATTCTAGTATTATATTTATTGATACTAGAACGTTTCGAATACTGCACGTAATATCTTAGGATATTGCTGATAGCTTCTGTTATCGAAATACACATTATTGAATTTCGGCGAAATCTATACAAACCTATTATTCGTTAGCGTCCGATTACGATTTTCCGAAAACATAGAACTTTTTTTTACACATTAATGTTAATGAAATCTTCGATTTAATTGGCTTTGCCGCTTAATACTATTTCTCTAGAATGATAGCGACAACTCTGCAGAACTGATAGATGCTCAAATAGAATGATCCTTATCGTCCATATTAACATGAGCAGTTGTTCGAGATATTGTCGCTCCCACTAATGACAAAAATGCTTCTAAGGATGTGTTAGTGATTCAAAACGAAAATTGTTCATAGCCTCCAATGAAACAAAGATAATACAGGTTTTCAAAAGCAAAAACTATCAGACATCATTAGCTACAATTTGTTGAACATTAAATTGACTATGTTGTATCGTACAAAGTTTTTGTTTCGGATTTGATTTTGTATTTGTAAATATTGATATGCTGATATAAACAGCTTTTCAAACTTGAGATCCACGAATTAGCATAAATTATGTGAACATTTTTTCTACTTTTTGGGGGAAAATATGAATAAAATAGGACGAATCTGGCTCCACACTAGAACTCGTCGGATTAGTCCCGAATCCGGCCAAGTTCAGGTCTGAAATAGGGTTGCTAGTTCTGAGGTACAACTCATCGAAGGACGGACTACTTTCAGCGTCACTTTCAATGTATTGTACTGGCCTAAACACGTTCTGTTAGTTAAATCCTGATCCGAAGGTTCTACCTAACGCTATTCATAAGTACAAATACAGAATTTCATTTTAAATTCTTCTAAAAACTTTTTTTTTTATGTCGTAATTTAAGACTGTATGGACAACATTAAAACAAGAATTATTACAATTAATCATTCCAACGTTTCTTGCTAATAGTGCTAATGCAAATCCATTGCTTAATTATATGTGGAATTCACAAGTAAGACAAAAATTTGAAAGAAAAGAAAACGAATAATTTTATAAATTCTTTTTTAAAAGCATCATACAACAGCATTACGTACAACACTTTTAACATCATTAGCTGATTGGTATAATCGAGCAAATGATAATGAACAACAACAACGTCTTAGTCGTGTACTTGAAGTTGTACAAGATTTAAAAACTTTACCAACATTACTTGGAGCACAACCTATGACATTTATACTTGATCTTGCTTGTTTAGCATCAAGACGTGGTTATTTAAAATTAGATAAATGGTTATCAGATAAATTACGTGAACATCAAGTAATAATATGAAAAACAAAAAAAACAAAACAATATTTAATCTTGAAAATATTTTTTTTTTTTTTTTTATTGAAGGAATTATTTGTTCAAACAACTATACAATATGTACGTAAAAAAGCTCCACAATTACTTCTTCCACCACCATTATCAAAAGATGATATAAATTTTAAATCAATAATAAATGCTGAAACAATAAATGTTCTATTAACTGTTCTTCAATTAGCATTACCATTAATAACAAATAATGAACTTATACAAGAAATTCAAACAATGTTATCAACAGCTAAAATTCTTAATACATTAACATCAACAACAACAACAACAATAACAACAACAGGAAATATATTTTCAAATACAAATCTTAATGAACAAACATTACAAAGACCTAATTCTATATCATTATCATTAAATCCTCAACAATTATATCATCATTCAACATCATTTACACCATCACCTACAAATCCATCAAGTGGACTTTCATTAACAGCTCAACTTCGTTCATTATTAAGTAAGCGAAAATAAAAAAAAAAAAAAAAAAAAAAGAAAGAAAGAAAGAAAATTTTTTTTATTTTTCAACTGTCGCTTTTGTATGTAAAAATAAAAAAGCGTGTGCTGCCGCGCGGCCACGTCAAAATCGTCCATAGTAGAGGATGCCATAATGAATATATATATACAAGGAGAGAACGAGAGAAGAACGAATGTGTACGTCATCGAACACAAAAACAAAAACGGCGGCCGAGACGGAGAGAAAGGCACTTGGGTTTGTGTGTGTATGCGTGTGTCTATGAGTGGAAATAATAGTAATAGCAGCAATAGAACGATAGAACGAGCAGAGAGAAAAGAAAAAGAAAAAAAGAAGAAAAAAAAATAGAGCGAGAAAAATAGAGATTTGTCGACACGTCCACCACTATAACTCGTATTTTTGACAAAACAATATCTTAACAAACCATGCGGCGATTGCAGCAAAAATAACGTTATATGATCAGATTTATCCAGGGTCTATATGTATTTATTTGTCTATGGGATAGTGAAACAGCGAGAGAGAAAAGAAAGTGAAAAATTCAACATAGTTTGATTCTATTTACTATAATAATGATGATGGATCCAAGTGAACATCTTCTCAGTGAGAGGAAAAAAAATCATTTATTTTCTTTGTTTTTATTTTTATTTTCTTCAAATAAACAAAAGGTTCGAGTGGTAATGATCCATTAGCAATTGGTTCATCATCATCAACAACAACAACAGCAACAACAACAACATCAATGGGTGAAATAGCTGATGTTGATGTTTATTTTAAACGTTTATATTCAAAAACAAATAATCCACCACCGATATCAGTTGATGAATTTCTTGATATAATGACACGTTGTAAAGATTCTCAAATTCAACGAGAAAAAGTAGAAAAATTATTTTGATTTTTTTAGAATAAAATTTTTTTTTGTTTTGTTCTAAGGATGTTTTTAATAATGGTATAAGAAATTTATTTGAAGAATATAAATTTTATATTCAATATCCTGAACGTGAATTACATTTAACAGCACAATTATTTGGTGGTCTTTTTGAACGTGGATTATTTCAACAACAAGCATTAATTGCTGCATATCGTGCTATTTTAGAAGGTTTAAAAAAGCCAACAGGAACAAATCTATGGAATTTTGCTGTTACAGCACTTGATAGATGTAAAGCAAGGTTTGTCTTATTGAAATCAAACAATATATATTCTTCGGAAATTTTTATATAATTATTCTAATTGAGTATAACTTTTAATAAAATTATTCATAATCTTATTCAGAAATGTTTCGGAATAGTCAAATTCGAGAAAAAGAAAGAAGATTTTGTGAAACATCAAATAGAAGAAAAATGGAAGGAAGTAATCATCCTTCTCATGCTCGGAATGCTTTTCAAACTTATATTTAACTGAAAAAAGAATTTATAATAGACAGAATAAAACACGAGTTTAAGAAAATTATTTTATTATGATTTTTGTGTATGTCTATCAAATTTCTTTATAAAAATAAGACTTTTCTCTTATCCTGAAAAATCTCTACCTACGAAGTTTTATCTCACTCTTTTTAATCCTACTTTACTTCAAATATTCTAAAAGTAAGAAATACGAAAATAGTATCATGTTAAAGATTGCAGAATAAAATTTTTTCGTATCCTGTACCATAATTGGGAAAAATTTATTTACCCTCACCTTATCATATAGGGTAACGTAACCCTGCATACTTCTAACCAATACGTGTGTTACATTTCGACACTCATTAAGGCTCCCCCCAAAAAATGTCAGTTTTGGTCAAGCTTGTCGATTTTGTGATTTATAGCTCGTTAGATAGAGCTAAGTGTCTACTTTCGAATGCACTATAGTTTATTGATTTTATGATGAGATTTAAGAATATTGCACAGGCTTTTCTGAACCTCCCGTAGGAGAAAATAAGGTTTCTTCTAAAAGTTTTGGTTATTTCTCAAAATAGGATTTTTGATTTTTACGTTTCCGTGTGCCCCAAATTTCTCCGCCATTTTAAACGCTAGAGAATTCGAGCTGGTTTTAAAATGTAGCTAATGTGTGACGCTACAATTTAAAAGAGTCAGATTTTTCGATTTCTTCATTAATATTTATAAGAAACTAACTTTTCTGGACCCCCCTCCCCCCATTGGCTTTTTTATATTTCATCAGAGAACTTCTCTAAAAACACAAGCTAGGACGGAATCGAAAAATCGAGCCCTGTTAAGTTGTAGCGCCACATATTGGCTACATTTTAAAATTAGCTCGACCTCTCTAACATTCGAAATAGCGGAGAAATTTGAAAACGCACGGAACCTAAATTTTGACCCATAACCTTCTGCTAACTCTTCGTAGACCAATGTATCGAGCTGATATTTTTACTGTGCGCTGTCTAGCTTGAGACACATCTCCACTGAAAATTTCATCACGATTGAATGCTCGAAAAAAAAAATTTATTTTAGAGAGGAGGGGCCCTTAAACAATTGATCTTGTTTTTTTTTTATATGAATAATATTATTTAGAATTCGTGAACAACCAACATTTCTACAAGGTTTACGAAGTTTAATAACTTATTCTGAAATTCCATTAAATATTCGTGAATATCTTGAATATGGTACAAAAACAAATATTCAACAACAATTTGATCCATTACGTACATTAACACCAACATCAAATTTAACAAGTTCAACAACAGTTAGTCCACAACCACAAATATCTCATTCAACAATGAATACATCAAATATGTTTCCACGTATGAATAGTGGTCCACCAATCACAAATCAACAACAATATGTTACTGGAAATGGTGGTGTTGGAAGAGAAAATCCTGCCCAAAAAGGAGTAAGTTATTAAAGAAAAATTAAATTTAGATTTATTTATTTTTTTCAAATGTTTTAATTAGCCATCATTAACACAAAATGCAAATATTCGAACATTAATGAGTGATCCAAGTTATCTTCTTGTACGAATAAAACCACCACCAGAACAAATTAATGATAAAATTGCATTTACATTTAATAATTTATCATTTGCTAATTTATCTCAAAAGGTTTTATAAAAAAATTATTATTTTTATTTAATAAGATTTTGTTGTTTTTTTTTTTTATTTAATAGGCGGAAGAATTAAAAGATGTTTTAGGTAATGATGAACAATTATGGAAATGGGTTGCACAATATTTAGTCATGAAACGTGCTTCAATTGAACCGAATTTTCATTCATTATATGCTGGTTTTATAAATACAATTAATGTTAATATCCTATATGATACTGTATTAACTGAAACACATCGAAATATTAAAGTAAAACCGAAAAAAAAAACAGTTGACAAAAATTTGTTGTTTTTTTAGATACTTTTATTAAGTGATAAACAAATGAATAATATACCTGATCGTGCATTATTAAAAAATCTTGGTCATTGGCTAGGAATAATAACAATTGCAAAAAATAAACCGATTCTTGCTACGGTTTGTAAATAGATCGACAAAATTTCAAAAAAGAAATTTTTTTTTTACTTCTATTTTATAGGATTTAGAAATCAAATCTTTAGTTATTGAAGCGTATCATATGGGTTCACAAGAATTATTATATGTTGTACCATTTGTAGCAAAAATTTTAGAATCATGTACACGAAGCAAAGTATGAATAAAAAAAAAAAAACATATTCATTTAAAAGAATAATTTATTAATTTAAATAGATTTTTCAACAACCAAATCCATGGTTAATGGGTATTATGTCTGTTCTTGCTGAAATGCATTCATCACCGGATTTTAAATTAAATTTAAAATTTGAAATTGAAGTACTTTGTAGACAATTACAAATTCAATTGACTGTAAGTTTTCATCGATAGAAAAAAAAAAAAACTTAACTAAGATTAAAAAACACTTGTGTTTATTAAGAATGCTATTTTCACAAAGGGAAAAGAGTAGATTCTTTTGAATCTCGTAGTTTACTCTGTGGAGTTAAGACATCAAATTTTTATAATTCAAGTACAACCATAGGTCTCATCTTGAGATAGCTTTCCCATTTTTTTAGTTCGTGTCTGCGATAATTGCAAATTGTTGTCGGAATATTGTCTGTCAAGTTTGCGAAGGTAGTTCCTGTCGGTGAGTTTTTACCAGATAGATTGTCTCTGACTATCGATTGAATTTTTAGTTCCTTACGCTTGTGCAAACTATCGAGAGCTCGGCTATGCAGTTTTAGAAAACGGTTAAGAGAATGGATTTGGAGTCGGAACTATATGCATTGTGTTGTAGATTGTAATGAATTATGAATATCCTAAAGAGTTTGAGCTCTAAACTTATTGCTACGGAGATTTTATCACAATACGATAAGTTTTAAGCCAATCCCGTAATTCCTTCAGAAACACTAAGAAAACTGATTTCTGAATTTACATAGAGGCTGATTCTAACGGAATAGTTTAGAGTGACAGTTGCAGGTCTTTTAATTTGCTGTTATTCTGAAATGACAATATTGAATTTTCGAGTAGATACGAATGATATAAAAGACACACTTTTATTATAACTGTATTTTACAAACTCGCTGATAACATAGTAGGTTTCTGTTCCCAGGAAAGGTAATTCAGTACTTTGAGAAATGAGTGTATCAAATTGATTTTAATATAAATAAGTGTATATCTTTGAAGTTGACTCAGAAAATTCATCTTGTTATTGTTAACTAAATCAATATCAGCTATACATCAGAGATATTTAATCTGAACCCGTGAACCAATATTCTTTAGTTTGTATCATTCATTGATTAATGATGTGAAGAAACTCGTTTAAAGAACTCTTAATTTATAATTGAATGTTTTTTATTAATGAAGCTTTCTATCTTTTTTTTATTTAATTTAATTTATCTTTTAGGATCTTCCAATTCATCATACATTATCAAATAAAGAATATTTCGATAAAATTGAAAAACAATTATCAAATAATAATCGTCAATCATCCGGTATAACACCTTTAGTTTATCAATCTCAACAATCAACAAATTCAACATCAACATCATCATCTCTT